TCAAATGGGGGCAGGGAGATATAACTCGGGGTAGCAATTCCCACAATGACCTGTAAAGGAAACCTCACTGAGTTAACCCTCCTGCCCTTCTCTGGGCTTCCTTGCTCCATCTAAGGAGTGACGAGCTCCCAAGCTGTGGGGTTCAGGAAACAGGGCAGAGTTTGACCACAGCGATCATCACTCCCTGCACATCCGTGTGATCCATCACACCTTAGGACTGCGTACACCTGTGGCCCTGGAAAGTCCCTGCCACCACTGGTCCTGGTGCAGTTCCTTCTCCACAGGCCTGGAGACGGTGGTGGGAGGGAACCGCTCACTGTGTTCACACACAAAAGAGCTGCACGGCCATCTAATAATGGCCAACCACATTCTGTGTGCCCGGTATCTTCTGCACAGGGCTGGCCATGTGTGCTGGTGTCAGATTCACTGTGGATCAGTCTGCTGTGTTTATATATCTTGTATATCATGCCTCCAGTGTCTCTGCCCTGTTTTGTGTATGTATGATGCTGTGAGTTTATCAGGAGGTATATACATAGGTACAGGCACGGAGGAGGACATAAAGCCTCGCTTGTTAATTTTCAAACCCAGGACAAACTGAGGTGCGTATTTAACATACCAAAGTGAACCTAGCAGCCAGGTTCTCCCAGCATCCTTCAGTCTCTACCTCTTACAGTTTCTCCTGATTGGGATACCCACTCCCTACCCTGAATGTTCCAGCCCAGAGGCCTGGGCTGCTCTTCCTTATATAATTCAAACATTTTGATTACCCATCCCTTTAATACCTTTGTCCTCATGGCTGCTGCACCTGCTCCCATCTTTCCCCTCTCCCTTCCCTCCCCCTCTCCCGACATTACCCAGCTCAGTCTGAACATGTCCACTCTGGACTCTCCCAGATGTCCCTGTCTTTGCCTATGCTCTGCCTTTTATCCACAATCAACTTTCTCCTCCACAATACATAGGAGCAGTCAAGTGCTATTCTTACTTTGTTTCTGTCTAAATTCATCTCTCTTCATTGTTTGTCATCTTTATCCCTTTGAGGCAGGGTCTCTCTGTGACCATGAAACTTGAAGGGAATCCAGCAGGTCCCCAGAGATTCTCCTGTCTCTGCCCCAAGTATGGTCTGGGTTAGAGATCAATGTGTGGTCCTTTCTGATTGTGTTGGTGTTGAGATTTGAACTCAGGTCTTCACGCTTGTGCAGCAAATGCCCTCATCCACTGAGCTGTCTCCCCGGGCACTGTGTGTTCAGTGCATGATTTTCTGTAATGCCTAGCTTAATATAATGTGGGTTTTGTTTGTCTAGGTCCTGATAGCAACAGGAAGTGAAACTGTGTGTGTGTGTGTGTGCATGTGTGTGTGTGTTTGTGTGTGTGTGTGTGTGTGTGTGTGATGAACTTGTAGAGTGGATGGGCAGCAGGCTAAGGATTAGCTGTGGCTGTGTGGCTGTGTGGCTGTGTGTGTGCATGTACACATCTGAGTAGACTAGGCAGGCATCAGGCTGTGTCTTAGGTGTGTGCACGTGTGTTGTTGTGGCTGCAGCAGGCCATACCGTCAGGGTTTGGTGCTGACACATGGTTCAATCACCTGTTTATGGAGTTGGGGACATGCCCAGTGACACAGGAGAGTCTCTCCCTCATGTGTTTATGTTCAGTTTCTGGGCCCAATACAGTAGGATGTTGGCGAAGTCCTCATGGGTAAGGCTGTGGCAGGGTTACCTCTGTTGTATTGTCCCCCACACTGCCATTTCCAAGGGAGCTCTTCTGTGCTAGCCCTGATGTGGGATTCCTCTCTGTGTGCTGTGAATACCATTGATTAATAAAAAAAACTGTCTTGGGTCTGTGCAGGGAATAGAGGTAGGCGGGGAAAATGAAATTCAGTGCTGGGAGAAAGAAAGGTGGATTTTAGAGAGAAGTCATGCATCCCCTGCAGGAGACAGACGCCGGACAGAACTTTATCCGGGAAGCCCCAGCCTCGTGGCGACACACAGATTAATGGAGACGGGTTAAATTAAGATGTAAGAGTTAACCAATAAGAAGATAGAACTAACGGGCCAGGCAGTGATTTAAATAATGTGGTTTGTTGCGTGATTATTTTGGGAGTCTGGGTAAACAAGAAAATGGTCTCCTACTAGAGTGACCCTACTTCCCTAATCCAGTTTGAGCCCACTCAAGCTGGGTAAATCTATGACCAAGACAGGCTTCTGGGGAGCTGCCCTCCCAGCTCATTTCTGGGTCACCCCCTCTAAATCCCCTCCATTTGCAGGGATCTAAGCCCCTTACATCTTCCCACAGCATGCTGCCCTGCTCCCAGGCTGACCTCTCATTCCCTGCTGCCTGAGACTCTGTGTTGTTTCCATGGCTCTCCTAAAGGGCAAGGGGCCATGTCTGTAAGTTAATAGTAGCAGTTCACACAGTGGCCATCAGGGGGAGTTGTGTCTCCCAAAATGTAAAGCCTCCACCATTCTCTAAGCCTCCCTGTGCATGGCTGGGGTGCTGCTGTGTAGCGAGTTCCTTCCATGTGACCTGCTTTGGCTTTTTGTGACTTTGTTGAATTGTTTACAAGCTCTAATAACGTTCTGTTAATTTCTCCAAATTTTTCTACATATATCGATTGGTCATTATGGTGATTGGATAGAAATTGGCACCCACAGGATGTGGCACTATTAGGAGGTGTGGCTTTGTTGGAATGGGTGTGGCCTTGTTGAAGATGTGTGTCAGTGTGGAGGTGGGCTTTGAGGACTCTGTTGCTAAAGCTACACAAGTGTGTAACACACAGTTGCTTATGTCCCCTGCTGATCAAGATGTGGAACTCTCAGCTCCTTCTCCAGCACCATGTCTGCCTGCATGCTGCCGTTGCCACCCACCATGTAATAGATCAAAGTTCTGAAGTGCAAACCAGCTCCAAATAAATGTTTTCCTCTATAAGTGTTGCTGTGGTCATGGTGTCTCTTCACAGCAACAGCAACCCTGACTAAGACAGTGAAGGACAAATTCACTAGCTCGCTTTGCCCGTATATAGGAAGGACAGCTAGACCACTGCTGTCATCAATTCTGGCTACTGCGTCTCTCTGTCCTCTGTGTTGGACAGTCCTCCATTGTTCCACAGGGAAGTTTGTCTCCAACTGCAGCCCGAGTGGCCATTCCCTCAGCCTGACCAGTGCATCCTTGGGTAGCTAAGTTCTGAGAGAAATGGACACACCAGCTCTGTGACTAGATGATATGTTCAACTTACTTCCTCTTGATGAAACCTGGACTAGCCTGATGTATATATCCCAGTTTTAGGTCTAATTTATTTGTCTTTCTTTAGAGGTTTCTGTATTTATTTATGTATATGAGTGCTCTGTCTTCCTGTAGGTCTGCAGTACAGAAGAGGGCATCAGATCCCCTTACAGATGGCTGTGAGCCACCATGTGGTGTTGGGAACTGAACCCAGGACCTCTGGAAGAGCAGCCAGTGCTCTTCATCAGTGAGATATTTCTCCAGCCTTTGTTTGTCTTTCTTAAGAAGCACAGCACAAAACAAGATGTCCCTGGTGTGCACTGCTTTTTCAGAGAACTAGAGTCCATATCCCAGCTGGTGGCTCACAGCTGCCCGAACTCCAGTTCCAGGGGAATTCAACATCCTCTTCGGAACTCTGAGGACATCCGCACATGCAG